TGTTTGTTCTTTTTCATTCTTTTTTCTCTAATCTTGTCTTTTCACTTTATTTCATTAAGTTGATCTTCAATCACTAATACCCTTTTTCCACTTAATCAGTTCATCTATTGATACACCAGCCATTGTTACTTGTGTATGCTTCACAAGGTTCTCGTGCTGTGTTTTTCAGCTCCATCAGGTCATTTTGTTCTTCTCTAAACTGGTTATTCTAGTTAGCAATTTGTCTAACCTTTTTTCAAGGTTCTTAGCTTCCTTGCATTGGGTTAGAACAGGCTCCTTTAGCTTGGAGGAGTTTGTTATTACCCATCTTCTGAAGCCTACCTCTGTCAATTCCTCAAACTCATTCTGTGTCCAGTTTTGTTCCCTTGCTGGTAAGGAGTTGTGATCCTTTGGAGGAGAAGAGGCGTTCTGATTTTTGGAATTTTGGGTTTTGTGCTGGTTTCTCCCCATCTTCATGGATTTATTTACCTTTGGTCTTTGATGTTGTTGACCTTTGGATGGGGTCTCTGAGTGGATGACCTTTTTGTTGATGTTGATGCCAATTCTTTCTGTTTGTTAGTTTTCCTTCTAATAGTCAGGCCCCTCTGCTGCAGGTCTGCTGGAGTTTGCTGGAAGTCCACTCCATATCCTGTTTGCCTGGATATCACCAGCGAAGGCTGCAGAGCAGCAAAGATTGCTGCCTGTTCCTTCCTCTGGAAGCTTCATCCCAGAGGGGCACCTGCCAGATGCCAGCCAGAGCTCTCCTGTTTGAAGTGTCTGTCAGCCCCTACTAGGAGGTGTCTCCTAGTCAGGATACACGTGGGTCAGAGACCCACTTGAGGAGGCAGTCTGACCCTTAGCAGAGCTCGAATGCTGTGCTTGGCGATCCACTGCTCTCTTCAGAGCCACCAGGCAGAGATGTTTAAGTCTGCTGAAGCTGCACCTGCAGCTACCCCTTCCTCCTGGTGCTCTGTCTCGGGGAGGTAGGGGTTTTATCTATAAGCCCCTGACTGGGGCTGCTGCCTTTTTTTTTCAGAGATTCCCTGTCAAGGGAGGAGGAATCTAGAGAGGCAATCTGGCCACAGCGGCCTTGCTGAGCTGCGGTGGGTTCTGCCCAGTTCGAACTTCCAGGCGGCTTTGTTTACACTGTGAGTGTAGAACCGCCTACTCAAGCCTCAGCAGTGGTGGATGCCTCTCCCACCACCAAGCTCGAGAGTCCCAGGTCAACCTCAGACTGCTGTGCTGGCAGTGAGAATTTCAAGCCAGTGGATCTGAGCTTGCTGAGCTCTGTGGGGGTAGGACCCTCCAAGCCCAACCACTTGGCTCCCTGGCTTCAGCACCCTTTCCAGGGGAGTAAACGGTTCTGTCTCACTGGCGTTCCAGGCACCACTGGGGTATGGAAAAAAAACTCCTACAGTTAGCTCGGTGTCTGCCCAACCGACTGCCCAGTTTTGTGCTTGACATCCAGGGCCCTGGTGGCATAGGCACCAGAGGGAATCTCCGGGTCTGTGGGTCACGAAGACTGTGGGAAAAGCACAGTATCTGGCCAGAATGCACCATTCCTCATGGCATGGCACAGTCCCTCATTGCTTCCCTTGGGTAGGGGAGAGATTTCCCTGACCCTTTGCACTTCCTGGGTGAGGCAACTCCCCACCCTGCTTTGGCTCGCCCTCAGTGGGCTGCACCCACTGTCCAACCAGCCCCAGTGAGATGAACCAGGTACCTCAGTTGGAAATGCAGAAATGACCTGCCTTCTGCATCGATCTTGCTGGGAGCTGCACACTGGAGCTCTTCCTATTCGGCCATCTTGCCAGCAACCCTCCATCTTCTAGAATTTTTATAGTTTCAGGTCTTAGGTTTAAGTACTTAATCCATCTTGAGTTGATTTTTTATAAGGTGAGAGAGAAGGATCCAGTTTCTTTCTCCTATATGTGGCTAGCCAATTATTCCAGCACCATTTGTTGAAAAGGGCTTCCTTTCCCCACTTTATGTTTTGTTTACTTTGTTGAAGATCAGTTGGCTCTGAGTATTTGGCTTTATTTCTGGGTTCTCTATTCTGTTCCAATGGTCTATGTGCCTGTTTTTGTATGAGTACCATGCTGTTTTGGTGACTGTGGCCTTATAGTATAGTTTGAAATCAGGTAGTGTGATGCCTCCAGATTTGTTCTTTTTGCTTAGTCTTGCTTTGTCTATGTGAGCTCTTTTGTGGTTCCATATGAATTTTAGAATTGTTTTTTCTAACTCTGTGAAGAATGATGGTATTTTGATGGGGATTACGCTGAATTTGTAGATTGCTTTTGGTAGTATGGTCATTTTCACAATATTGATTCTACCAATACATGAGCATGGGATGTGTTTCCATTTGTTTGTGTCATCTGTGATTTCTTTCAGCAGCGTTTTGTAGTTTTCCTTGTAGAGGTCTTTCAACTTCTGTGTTAGGTATATTCCTAAGTATTTTAGGTATTTTTTTGCAGTTGTAAAAGGGGTTGAGTTCTTGATTTGATTCTCTGCTTGGTCGCTGTTGGTGTATAGAAGAGCTACTGATTTGTGTACATTAATTGTGTATCCGGAAACTTTGCGGAATTCCTTTATGAGTTCTGGGAGCTTTCTGGAGGAGTCTTAGGGACTCCTAAGGTAAACAGTCATGTCATCAGCAAACAGGGACAGTTTGACTTCCTCTTCACTGATTTGGATGCCCTTTATTTATTTCTCTTGTCTGATTGCTCTGGCTAGGACTTCCAGTACTATGTTGAAGAGGAGTGGTGAGAGTGGGCATCTTTGTCTTGATCCTGTTCTCCGAGGGAATGCTTTCAACTTTTCCCCATTCAGTATTATGTTGGCTGTGGGTTTGTCATACATTGCTTTTATTACATTAAAGTATGTCCCTTGTATGCTATTACATTAAAGTATGTCCCTTGTATGCTGATTTAACTGAGGGTTTTAATCATAAAGGATGCTGGATTTTGTCAAATGCTTTTTCTGCATCTATTGAGATGATCGTGTGATTTTTGTTCTTCTTTTAAGAATTACATTTATTACATGTATTGACTTGAGTATGTGAAACCATCCCTGCATCCCTGGTATGAAACCCACTTGATCATGGTGGATTATCTTTTTGATATGTTGTTAGACTCAGCTAGTATTTTGTTAAAGATTTTAGCATCTGTGTTCATCAAAGATAGCGGTCTGTAGTTTTCTTCTTTGGGTGCATCCTTTCCTGGTTTTGGTATTAGGGTGATGCTGGCTTCACAGAATGAATTAGGGAGTGTTCCTTCTTTCTCCATCTTGTGGAATAGTATCAAAAGGATTGGTACCAATTCTTTGAATGTCTGGTAGAATTCTGCTGTGAATCCATCTGGTCCTGGACTTTTTTTTGTTGGTAATTTTTTAATTACCATTTCAGTCTCACTGCTTGCTATCGGTCTGTTCAGAGTATCTAATTATTTCTGATTTAAGCTAGGATGGTTGTATTTTTCCAGGACTTTATCTGTTTCGTCTGCATTTTCTAGTTTATGTGTGTAAAGGTATTCATAGTAGCCTTGAATGATCTTTTGTATTTCAGTGGTGTCAGTAATATCTCCTGTTTCGTTTCTTAGTGAGGTTATTTGGATTTTTCTCTGTTCTTTTCTTGGTTAATCTTGCTAATGATCTATCCATTTTATTTATCTTTTCAAATAACCAGCTTTTTGTTTCATTTGTCTATTGTATTTTTTTGTTTCAGTTTCATTTAGTTCTGGGAATGGTGGCAGTGGGTTGGGTGGGTGAGTAGGTTTTCAAGCCACTGGGCAGCAAACATGGGCAATGGCAGTAGTAGTAGTGGGACAACCCTCTGGGATCCAAGCAGTCAGCAGTGGTTTTGGCGGTGGCTATGATGGGCTGCATGGGCCAGTCCTCAGACTTGCTGATGGCATATGTGGGTGGGTCCAGCTGTGATGGTAATGGCAGGTTGATTGGGCCCAGACTCTGGGAGGAGTGCTCAGGTGCCAATGGTGGTGTCCTGGGTAGGGCAATCCCCAGATCCCTGGACCATGTGCTTGGTTACTGGTGGAGATTAAGCAAGGCTGGGCAGATCTGCCCCCAGGTTCCCAAGGTGTTGTGTGCAGGTGCTGGCTGTTGTAGGCAGGGGTGGGATGATTTCCAGGCCACCAGCAGAATGCTTAGGTTGGGGCAGTAGCAGCTGCATTGTAGCTCTGCTGCTAGGGAGGGTGGGTTTGCTTTCAGTGAGTTGCTCTTGCAGATGGTGAATGTCAGTGGGTCTCTAGGGATGTGGAGATGCAGGGGCTGTAGGGCCGGGCCCCAGGGCAAGATGCAGGTCCACTAGGAGCTGGGCTCTCAAAATAGTGCCATGCTACAGTTCCTTAGGTCTTGGGTGTTTGTGGGACCTAGTGTGAGTTCCCTCTTGAGCAGTGCTTTCATGTGGTCTCCAGGTAATGCCCTGTTAGTCTTGAGACCCACAAGGGTCAAGGGGCTATTTGGTGATTAGGATTGTAGGAGTCCTTGGTGGGAATGTGGATTGCTGGGGATTGCTCACTTTCCTTTTCCTCCAGTTAGGCAGCCTCTGTAGACTCCTAGCTAATCCTGTCAAGACAGGCTGCTTTGCTTCATTCCTTGCTTTTGATGCTTCCTGTCATTTTGAATTCCACTATTCGCTGTTAGATCTACGTGAAGTAGGATTGTCTGCTCATTATTCTGGTTCCCCTCTGTGGAAGAGGTGAGCACTGAATGTATCTAGTCAGCCATCTTGCTTGAAGTCCCTCCTGCTTCACAGATTTTTATTTTTGACAATGATTTATGTGATTGCTTATGACTAGAAAGCCATCACTGCCCAGGTAGAAGAGAAGCGCAGGAAGAAACAACTGGAGGAAGAGCAAAGAAAGAAGGAAGAAGAAGAAGAGGAGCTTCGCTTAGCACAGGAACGTGAAGAGATGCAGAAACAGTATGAAGAAGACATACTTAAGCAAAAACAAAAGGAAGTAGGTATTTACATTCTCATTGTAACTTTGATTTTTGATTTTGTTTTTGAGACAGGGTCTCACTCTTCTGCTCAGGTTGGAGTACAGTGGTGCAATCATAGCTCACTGCAGTCTTGACCTCTGGGTACAAGTTGTCCTTCCACCTTGGTCTCCTCAGTAGCAGGGACTACAGGCAGGTACCACCACATTTGGCTGATTTTTTTGTTGGTGTGTGGAGGAGACAGGGTCTCACTATGTTGCCTAGGCTGGTCTCAAGCTCTTGGGCTCAGGCGATCCTTCCACCTCAGCCTCCTAAAGTATTGGTATTACAGGTGTGAGCTACCATGTTTGGCCTCCTAATTGTAACATTTTAGAATAAAAATGGATGTATTTTTAAAGGAAAAATAACCAGAAGTTGAACATTTCTATTATTTTGAAATTGTGAAGCTATGTATGGACATGTCAGACCTTCACATAAAGTTAGGAAAGAGGGAAGCTTGAGAAAGTTTCATTATTTCACATGATAATAGTTCTCAAATGTTATATTGGTTTGGCTTTTTCTGTAGAGGAGGTCACAGCACAAAGCAGGTGTTACCTATGCACTTCATTTTTATCTACTCCTAGTTTCTTTGCTTCATTTCTAAGCAATAATTATTAATAATTATTCTAGGTATGTTAAGAGAAATGATTGACCTATCAGTATCCACTTATGAACAGGAACATACATTTGCAGAATAATTGGCTGGGATTGATGATACAATTTGTGACTGTCCTAGAGATCTCTGTGTTAAATGACTTTTTTTTTTTTTTTTTTTTGAGACAGAGTCTCGCTCAGTTACCCAGGCTGGGGTGCAGTGGCGTGATCTCCGCTCACTGCAAGCTCCGCCTCCTGGGTTCACGCCATTATCCTGCCTCAGCCTCCCAAGTAGCTGGGACTACAGGCATCCGCTGCCACGCCCGGCTAATTTTTTGCATTTTTAGTAGAGACGGGGTTTCACCGTGTTAGCCAGGATGGTCTCGATCTCCTGACCTCGTGATCCACCCACCTCGGCCTCCCAGAGTGCTGGGATTACAGGCGTGAGCCACCGCGCCTGGCCTAAATGGCCTTTTTAAAAAGTAGATACTAGGAGACAACATAGGTATGCATACATACCTATCTTATCTGTACCACTAGGAGAACCCTAAGTGGTGTAGACAAGATAGGTATGTATGGTGGTGGTACCATATTTGAGCTAACCTAACAAAAATACTCACTTGCTAAAGTTTTAAAATGTAGAGCACTTTAAACGTTTTCTTGCCTTTTACTGCAGTTTTCCCCCTTGGCAACCTTCACTCCAAAATTGGCTAGTAAAGGGACACATGGTCTGGGTTCCAGTTTCATTGAGTTGAATAGGCTGAGCCAGTTACCCCTATGTAACATGAGGAAATCAGTAAAGTATCATTTGAACTGCAAGAAGTGGTCATAAACCTTGTTTACCTTTTAAAATATATTCTTAAATGTAATAGAACAGTTTTTAAAACTGTGAAAACTTTTAGTATAAATTTGAAATGGGTAAAAAGAGTTACCATATTTGTGATTGAATACAGCTGTAGAAAAAGATGTTAAAATGTAAGCTCCAGAAGGGCAGGAACTTTGCCTTGTTGACTGTTCTAACCTTAGTATGTAAACAAGTGCCTGACACATAGGAGAAGCTTAGAAAATATTTACTGAGAGGAAATAGTCAAGTCTTTGTATGTTTAATAGTTGTATTTAATAACACATCAATATTGACAGGAAATCATGACTGTCAAGACAAATGAGCTATTCCAGACAATGCAGCGAGCGCAGGAACTGGCACAGAGACTAAAACAAGAACAGAGAATCCGAGAATTGGCGCAAAAGGGACATGACACTTCTAGATTGATTAAAAATCTTGGTGGTAAGGGCTTAACCAGAACTTTATTTATAATATTTTTAGAAGATGATTTTAAATAATGCCTTTTTTCTGTGTTTGGAGAAAAGGACTCATTCTGTTGCCTAGGCTAGAGTGCAGTGGTGCCATCACAGCTCACTGCAACCTTATATTTTTTGTAGACATGGAATCTCGCTTTGTTGCCCAGGCTGGTCTTGAACTACTACTGCCTTCAGATGACCCTCCCACCTTGGCCTCCCAAAGTGTTGGGATTACAGGTGTGAGTCATTGCACCCAGCCTAAATGATTGCCTATTTTTAATACCTTTAATATACCTACTATTTTTGTAGGAATTTCAGACCTTAAACTAGTGTAATTTTATAAATAGGAATGCTTAATTTATGTGGAAAATTGCAATAAAAGCAGAAATAATGTTAAAATGTGTTAAATAATGTTAAAATAATAGGTAAAATGTGTACTTTTTGTGTCTGTTTTTACAGAGAACAATTATGAAATGATCTCCCTAAATTCAGTAACCGATAGGAATGTGGGTAACTTTTTGTAAGAAAATTGTTATTGCAGTGTTCATCTTCATTAAGTGAAAATTATTGTATTTAGTTGCTGCTATACATACATAATTTTTATTAATATTCCTTAAGTGTTGTTTTATCAGGTAATTTCTCTTTGCCAGTTGATACAATACAAATGGAATATAACGCATCTACTAACATTTCAAGACATGATTCTGGTGAAGTCAGCGGTAAAATGAATACATACACGAATTATACAACTTCTAAGAAGGATACTGGTGTGCAAACAGGTATTTGTGTAGAAACTGTGGTTTGATTTAAAATTTAAAGTCATAATTAAAGCAATTAGAATTAAGTTCAATTTAAAAGTTCAAAAATTAATGAAAGGTGAGGTTTTCAGTAAGTTACAAAATAAAGGGATAACAGCTTTGTTGAAATATGTCACATACCACAAAATTTACCCTACAGTTTAGTGTTTTTTGGTATTCAGTGGTGCAACCATTACCGCAATCAATTCTAAAACATTTTGATCACTCTAGAAAGAAACACTGTACCCATTACTTGTCACTTTCTATTTCTTTCTTCTTTCTCCTCCAGTTAACGTTCTGTCTCTGAATATTTCTGCCTGTTCTGGACATTTCATGTAACTGGAATTAGACCACATAGTCTTCTCTGGCTTCTTTCTCTTAGCATGTTTTAAGGTTTATCCATGTTGTAGCATGTGTCAGTACTTCATTCCTGTTTGTCACTGAATAAATACTACATTTATAATACCACATTTTTATTCATGAGTTGATGAACATTGGTGTTATTTCCACTTTTTGGCTATTATTAATATGCTGCTGTGAATATTCATATATAGATTTTTGTGGATGTACATTTTTAGTTCTTTTGAGAGAAGAGTAGAATTGCTGAGTCACGAGTAACAGGTACTGTATGTTTAGCATTTTGAAGAACCACCAAACTCTTCTCCAAAGCAGTGGTATCATTTTACATTTCCACCATCAGTGCCTGTGGGTTCTGATTCTCTCTATTCTTGCCAACCCTTGTTATTCTACTGATTGTGAAGTGTTAGGTGATTTTGGTTTGCATTTCCCCCAGTGACTGATGATGTTGAGCATCTTTTCATGATTATCAGTTCATAGAGATGGAAATTAGAGTGGTGGTTGCCAGTGGTTGGGAGTATGAGGGGTTGTTCTTTAATGAGTATAATAAGAGTTTTGGTTTTGTTGAAAATCAATGAAAGAAAAAAGTCTCAGAGGACAGTAATTGTTTAATGTTTTGGGGAAAGTTATTTAAAATTAAAAATTTTGTTTATAATTTTAAAAAATCATTTGAAACTTTTTTTTAGATGACTTAAATATAGGAATATTCACCAATGCAGAATCACATTGTGGATCATTAATGGAGAGGGACATCACAAATTGTTCATCTCCTGAGATTTCGGCAGAACTTATTGGACAGTTTAGCACCAAGAAAAACAAGCAAGAACTAACTCAGGATAAAGGAGCCAGCTTAGAAAAAGAAAACAATCGGTATAATGATCAGTGTAATCAGTTCACAAGAATAGAGAAACAAACAAAACACATGAAGAAATATCCTAAAAGGCCTGATTGGAATATAAATAAGCCACCTAAAAGGTATATTCCAGCATCAGAAAAGTACCCTAAACAGCTTCAAAAGCAAAGAGAAGAAAAAAAAGTAAGGAGGCAGATGGAGTTGCTTCATTTGGTAGAAAAAAACAATCCTGGGCACCTCTCTCAAAACAGAGGCATTTCACCAGAAATTTTTCATTCATCTCATCAAGAAACTGAGTCAAAGTTCAGGTGGCATCTAGTCAAAAAGGTAAAGCTCTTCCATCTTAGAAGATGTATTGATATTTCTAGATTCAAAACAGTTTCTCACATGTATGCTTTGGTAAGGCTGTTCTGATCTGTTTCCGTTTACATTAGGGATCAGCAAACTATATCCCATGGGCAAATCCAGGCTGCTATCCGCTTTTGTAAAATTTTATACGAACATAGTCAATTCATTCTTTTATGAATTGTCTATGGCTGACTTCACACAACAGACTAGCAACAGAAACAATATGGCCCACAAAGCTGAAAAGGTTTTCTTATTGAGTCCTTTACATTTAACACAACTTCTGTAGATGAATGCTATGTGTTCAAATACTCCTTTAAAACCCTTGTTTATAGTCCATATAGACAGAGGTCAGTTTGGGAGATTAGGAACTACTGGGTTAGTTTGACTCTGGAAAAATACTGAATCTATCTATTCTGTTGCTCAGTTGGTACCTGTTATTCAAATATTACCCTCAGATTATTTCAATAAGTAGCTCTAAAAATATTTGTGGGGACATGTGAAAATGCTACATATTCCTTTCTGCATTTATCCATCTTTTAGGAAGAAGAGCCTCTGAATATTCATTCATTCAGCAAGGAAAGGTATGTATGCATCAGATTAATTCTGCAGCTATTTAGTGCTTTCTGTGTGGGACAAAAAAGGGATTCAAGATCTGGACGGCATGAGGCATATAGTTATATATAGAGAACAGTCAGAAAGGGTGTGGCTTCCAGGTGAGGGTTAGAGGATTAAGGGATAGGGTGGCACTTTAGCTGGAGCTTGAAGGCCCGTGTTGGACTGGGCCTAGGCAGGAATGTAGATAACATTTACTTTTATCTCTAGACTTAACTAAGTGATTTTGATATTCCAGGTATGTCACTAGCAGAATAGGCATTCTGCTTTGGGAGGAGGGATGGCCAGGAGTGGTGAATGGGAAGAAATGACTGATAAGGACAATGAGAAATTCAGTCAATGAGAGATTTAGAAATTAGAATCTTTATTCTGTCTTTGTGCACGAACCAGCTGGTTTAGTTGTCTCAGAATGGGGCTTAAAAACAAGTTTCGTTCAGATGGTGAGTATATTATTTTATGGTGAATTATCTAAGGAGAAAACAGTAGGCTCAGATTAACCAAACCAGCAGTGTTCCTCAGGATCTAGTAATTAAATATGTCTCCCTTGTGCTACAGTACACATACCATAGCTAGTGCTAGTAAAAACACAGATAAATACCATTCTTTTCCCCTGTTTTATGGAACGATATTATAGAGCTCAGGCTTCTATGCATATATTCCCAAAGGTGTTACAGGTACATTTAGAATAAAGTGAAATGGGCCAGGCATGTGGCTCACGCTTATAATCCCAGCACTTTGGGAGGCCGAGGCAGGTGGATCACCTGAGGTCAGGAGTTCAAGACCAGCCCTGGCCAACGTGGTGAACCCTGTCTCTACTAAAAATACAAAAACTAGCTGGGCACAGTGGTGTGCGCATGTAATCCCAGCTACTTGGGAAGCCGAGACAGGACAGGTTGCTTGAACCCAGGAGGCAGAAGTTGCAGTGAGCTTACATCACACCACTGCACTCCAGCCTGGGCAACAGAGCAAGACTTCGTTTCATAAAGTGAAATGTGATCAAAGAGAGATACTTAATCTAAATACACAATTTTTTACTAAGGCTCCTATTTTTCTTTTTTTAATAGGTCTCCATCACCACCAGTTCCAGCAGTGAAAAACAGAACTCAACAAACTCAAAATACATTACACTTACCACTAAAAAACAGTAGCTATGAGAGAGAGAATTTGATTTCAGGAGGTAATCAAACAAAATTATCACCTGGAATTTCTGAATCATCCCATTTTATTCCCTATGTTCGAACAAATGAGATCTATTACCTTGATCCCGATGCACCATTGTCTCAGCCTTCAACCCAGGACCCTCAGTACCAAAATTCACAAGGTAAGTAAATATAAGCATTCTAACTGTAAAAATTGACCCATGTAAACCCCCAACTTTAAATTCCAAATTAGTAATTCCTGCACTTAGTTCTAGAAAGTTTCTTACAATGTTTGCTCCTGGAGAGAGGAAGGAATTTTCTCTTGAATATGTCTTAAATTTTGCTTAGTACTTTCCTAGGATACATATTTATTAATGACTCCTTAGAATATTATATAGCACAGGGCTGTATCATTTTACTAATGTAATTGACTGATTTGTTACTTTCATCTCGCTTTACACTGTGGCCAAGAACGACAGCTATTTGATTCTGACTGTGTCAGTGATCCACTTCTTAATCCTAACATGGTGAAAAATAGGGATCGACAGCAAGCAATCCTTAAGGGACTTTCAGAACTGAGACAGGTATGAGCTTTTTCGAGTGTAGATGTGTCTGTTCTTTATGTGGCGTGGGCGGTTCGGGGAACATGTTGAATGGCTGTTTTAAGTTACTTTGATGCATCCCAGGTTTTAACAAGTATTTCAGTTCCTGTATGTTAGACACAAATAAAATGGGACTTTCCTTCGACTTGCTTTTACATTGCCGTCTTTGAGTAGTTCTTTCCAGTACGAAATCATGAGACAGTTCCAAAATTAAGACAAGTTTATTGAGTAAAAAAAATGCATACATTGGAACGGCAAAACATCAATAAGGCCCTAAAACAAAAAATACAGTTACGCTTTAACAAATTCTTAGCAATATGTGGCTTTTAAAAAAACTTGACGTGTTGGCAGTGTTTAGAAATATTGATGTACATCCCAAATAGTAATAAATTCAGTATGAAATTATACGTATAACCTTACTCACCAGATTACTTTTTCTCCCAAACTATTGTGACTTCTCATTATTTTACTCTCTGATTAAAACGGGTGACATCCTACAACCTTTGCTCCATCCCTTGGGCTTTAAAAAGAATGGCTGTAGTTAGCTTTGATTCACTATATACTCTGTACTCAGGGAAGAATAAGCTGTGTTGTTTATAAGTGCCCTTTTCCATGTCGGCATGTACCAATACCCTCTGCATTTCAAAATGCTGACTCAGATGTCTTCCCTCTACAGAACTAGAAAATTGTCCCCTTTGGTCTATTTACTCATTTGAAGACAAACAGGATTACTAAGAGTTTTACATAAATTATTTCTTTAGAGTGACAAAGTGTTAATTTACTTCTTGCTTAGTGGAGACAAAAATTATGAGATAAAGAGAAAGGAATATGATGTACACATTTACCCACAAATATAGTGCCCAGTGTTATTTCAGCAGGACCCTTCTATTAGCATCTAAGGTAAGGTTAGGACAGTCAAGATAAACACTGGATGTTGGCCAGGCGCAGTGTGGCTCAAGCCTGTAATCCCAGCACTTTGGGAGGCCGAGATCACGAGGTCAGGAGATCGAGACCATCCTGGCTAACACAGTGAAACCCTGTCTCTACTAAAAACACAAAAAATTAGCTGGGTGTGGTGGTGGGTGCCTGTAGTCCCAGCTATTTGGGAGGCAGGAGAATGGCGTGAACCTGGGAGGCGGAGCTTGCAGTGAGCCGAGATCGCACCACTGCACTCCAGCCTGGGCAACACAGCAAGACTCCATCTCAAACAAAACAAAACAAAACAAACACTGTATGTATGTTAAGGGAGACGCCTCCTAGTATCTAAGCAGTTGGGGGTGGATTGGGGGAGAGGGAATGACTTCATTTACCCTCATAGTTTTGGAGGCTTGATTTTTAAGAAAATTCTCATCCCTACTGATTTTTATGCTAAAAATACAATCTTACAAATGTGATAGCTATATATCCAAATGAAGTGGTCTAGTACAAGCATTTCTGAAAAATTGTTGAATGACAATTTTATCCTAAGCAATGTGTTTTCCAAGTGAATAGAATTCTAGTTTAACACAACATTGCAAGTCAGGTGTGCACATTTTACTAACATATATCAATGTGATTTCAGGGCCTTCTCCAGAAGCAAAAGGAGTTGGAAAGTAGTCTCCTGCCTTTAGCTGAAAATCAAGAAGATAATTTTGGTTCTTCATTTTAAATGTAGAAAATCAAATCATTCGCATTTGATTTGTGTCTTCCAAATTATAAAATGTGCTCACTGGCTCAACGGTATTTTTCAAATAACCTAGATTTTATTTTTTTAAATGCTCATTAAAAACTTGTATACTATGTAGTAAAATGCTGTACTTGTTCTATACAATAAAACATACTTTTGTAAAAGCTTAGTAGTAAAAAAAACATGTTCTTCTGCTCTGTCACCACCTGAGTATTGAAGCCCTATAAAAAAAAACACTTACTACTTACCTTAATATAGTCTGGCGTTCCTGGGACCTCACAGTGTTCTTTCACACTTTTTATGTAACTTATTAAGTGAAATACCACTCATGCATTTGTTCTAAAGTGCCAAAGTTCTAACTTATTAACACGTCTAGACCCATAACTCTATATAACTTTACTAAAATAAATTCAATTTAAGCTTCTGTGGAAATTGTTTTCTTCTCTAAATCCTGCTTTTATGACATTTGTAGAAATTGCAATTTTCAAAAACATTTTTATAAGTTAGCATTAGCAACAAGTTAGTAATTAGTATTAGAGGCAGTAGTTAGGAATAGATGTAGGTTTGAAAGCTATCTCCACTGTATCTTTCTAGTATAGCACTAATGTGTTCAACAAATGGTAATTACTACTAAGACCACCTCAAAAATATATTTCCATTATACTTCAATATTGCTAAAACTAATTTAAAAATCAAATTGTTCAATGCCATTGATAAACAGAAGCCTATCTTCTGAAATATAAAAGTTAATTTCATTAAATCAAGGATTGCACAAGTACTGAAAAATCGAATGCTCTCGAAGTTACCGGAATTTTAGCAATAGGCAGTTTTTACGTGACTAAGCCTAGAGATAAAAAATGTGTCCTATGTACATAGTTTATTATCTAAATGAAACTGCATTGTTAAATCTTGAGGTATTGAGCCAAAATCCTGTAAATATTAACACTGCTATTACTGGCTTATACCTGTGTAAAAACACTATACAAAAGCCTAAATCAAAATAATTCACTTCAACAAAAGTACTTTGTATCAGGTGACATTAGAGCAAAAGAAGTAAAGCCTTTGCTGTTTACCGTCCTCCTGCAAGCATCTGATTTTACACATAAAACAGGCTTCAATTTGAAGCCTAACTACAGGTAACATACAAAAGTAAAACTTAGGAAGTGCCAACATGAGATAATTCAAGTACAATATATGTTAAAAATATATATTTATTTCAATTTTTAGATGCTTCAACTGTTACAGACCATCATGATTTAAATAAAAGAAACATTTGAGAAAGAACAAGAACCTTTTGTTTAGAGAATGAAATATAAATTGTTAATAAACAAAGTCCACAACAATCTATTAAAAAAAAAGTTACTATAGTTATTTCTCTTGTGAATATGGCCTGGAAGAATCACTTTTCCCTCCACTTAAGGGAGGTGGAGATTTATCTCTATCCAAGCTTTGAGTATAAGCAGATAAGAAGTAATTTTCATTTTCTTGAGACTGACTTGATGAAAGGGCATATGGTGTCCCCAAAAATGTCTGATGAGTGAGAACATTAAAATGACTAAACTGATGGGACATATTTAATTGACTATGATAAACCTGAAAGTTACTATATGAATCTTGTTCTGTTGAATTGCTGTTCTCTCCTTCAGAGCATACTATATCAACAGAAGTTCTCTCTTCAGAATCAAGATAAGTCTTATCTTCTAATAAACTGTTTTGCACATCAGGAGACGACTGCAACTCAATTTGAGTATTCTTTTTTTGATCTGTTCCACGTGATCCTTTGGTCTCTCTCTCCCATATTTCTGAATGAAAATTGCTGCATACTTCTATATGTGAGATTTCATCCCCTGAATCCAGAGACATATCCTCTTCATCCTTTTCATCGTTTTCTAAAAGAGCTACATTTAAAAAACAAAAAGTCCTCCTCTATTGAAATACACAGTTTGTTTACGTTTTAAAATTATACACTACTCACACAATATAACGCGTCAGGGTCTGCAAGTCCACAATCCCTTAAAGCTTGGTCTTCTGCCACAAGTTCACTTAGTCACAACACTCACACTAGATGTGAATGTCCAGATAATCCGATGCTAAAAGCTTCTGCGAAATGTGTTCACGTTTAATGTTGGGAAATCCCAACTCCCAGCTCCAAAGGGGTTAATGTCAAAACAGCATCTAAAGTTATACGGTAATTCAGTATTTGACAAGACAAATATAAAATAAAATTTTTTGACATCTAGCTTCACTGGATTACTAAACTGGTTAGCACTACTGAATGATCATTTCTGCTTTTTTTCATCCAAAACAAAAGTACATCTTTCATTTCACATAGAACCTGGAACCAAAGCAGAGGCCATCTCACGAAAGACTAAAGCTATGACAGCTCTACTATCTTGCAATTAAACTGCTTTATACATGTGGGGAGGTCTAGCAGCTCAATGCTGAATCGCCATATCTGGTTTCCTACCTTTTTATTAATATAACCCCTTTGCTGACAATAGTAACCAATAATGCTTACAAACCCTTGAAGAGAAAATGCATACTCCATAGTATGCATTGTCTACAATATAGATAGAAATGCATAATCTATAATAACTAACAACTTAGACTGGCTACAGTATAATAAATGAGATCTTGTGCATGCTAAGTATTAGAATGATAAATGTCTTCAAACACTTTCCCTGTGACTGTTTATACTGAGGCGAGTGGTTTCAAAACAGTCATTTCATTATTTGGTAACAGAACAAAACCATTCCTCTTTTACTGTCTGCGTTAAAGAAAATGAAAACCACTGAAAAGTTACCTGACTGGGACTCAAGATTCTCATTAGCACCAAGCTGCGGAAGGTTTTCTTCTGTGACTGAGTTGTGATAGCCCACAAGATTTTTAAAGTTTTGCATGAAGTCTTCAGCAGTTGCAACCACTATTCCATTATCTGTATAACTGGAAAGCATCTTGATGGTCTTCTCTAAATTAAGAAAAAACGTTTCATGTATGAAACCCTTCAAAATGTAGACAGCCCCCAGCCCTCACAAAATCCTTTCCTTCACATTTTCAGAATCAAAGCTTAGCGATACCCACCACAGCCCCATAAAATCCTTTCATCCACATTCCTATATTCATAATAGAAAGCTTAGGAGTGCTCTCTTTACCTGTTAAAAAGACTATGTGTCGTTGCTGTATGTTCTGAGCCTGAAGTCTGATAAGGCAATCCAATTCTGGAGCATTTCGAGTTTGTGAATCACAATTGTGGTATGACAAAATTTCAACCAGATGTTTCTTCTGATAGACATTCAGAAGCGTCAACAGACTTAGAGCTTTAGCATTCAATCTGTGAAATTAAGCAGTTCAGTATCTGGATCTGTACTTCTAAAATTTAGTATGGAAATTTCTGCTGTAGATTAAAATTCAATTTCTTCCATTGAGGCAACTAATGACAACTGCACTGCTTTAGCTCTCTGCCTGGTGTACGGGCGTGCTTCTTTGGAAAGAAAGAAAGAAAGGGGTTTCTTGGTCGCAAGGCCTCAGGGCCAGCTATACAGCTTAGGCTAAAATCTCAGCTGATTATTCTACTTACTTAAAGTATGATTACCTCTATCAATTTTGAACTTTAATGAAGGACTTAAAAGGACAAAAAAAGTATAAATCCTTCCTTCAAAAAATACAATATACAGACCAGGCCTGATGGCTCACGCCTGTAATCCCAAAACTTTGGGAGGCCAAAGCAGTTGGATCACCTGAGGTCAGGAGTTCAAGACCAGCCCGGCCAACATAGTGAAACCCCATCTCTACTCAAAATACAATTAGCCGGATGAGGTGGCTCATGCCTGTAATCCCAACTACTTGGGAGGCTGAGGCGGGAGAATCACTAGAACCCAGGAAGCAGAGGTTGCAGTGAGCTGAGACTGCACTATTATACTCCAGTCTGGGCAACAAGAACTAAAGTCTCTTAAAAAAAAAAAGTACACTATTATGGCTCTAAACTCTTTTTTTTGTTTGTTTTGAGACAGAGTCTCGCTCTGGCGCCAGGCTGGAGTACAGTGGTGCAATCTCAGCTTGCTGCAACCTCCGCTTCCTGGGTTCAAGCGATTCTCCTGCCTCAGCTTCCCGAGTAGCTGGGACTACAGGCGTACACCACCACACCCAGTTAATTTTTGTATTTTTAGTAGAGACGGGGTTTCACCATGTTGGACAGGATGGTCTCAATCTCCTGACCTCGTAATCCGCCTGCCTCAGCCTCCCAATGTGCTGGGATTACAGGCATGAGCCACCATGCCCGGCCGGCTCTAAGCTGTTTCTATATTGCAAGGGACAAGCAACAAGTGGAGATAAGCTTTTAAGAGTGAATTGCTACAAAGAATTAAATGCTCAAAACTTATTTAAGCCTGAATTTCCTGAAAAGTGTACCATGGAATGTCATACTTTAAGAAATAAAATTTGGTGGTCTAAGTTTAAGGAAATAATGATTAACACAATGTAAAACAATTCTTTTAACTAGAGTTCTTCATATCCTTTAATGTGTACATACATTTTATAGACTTTACTAGTAGGCTATAGTGTCCCAAATGTGCCTGATTACCACAATCATTTATGGACTCTCTCAAGTGACTAGTGTTCCAAAGATCACACTTGAAGAAGTGACTCCCATGCATGTTAGAAATTACCTATATATACATGAATTGATGTCCTACTCACAAATCACTTCACCAGGTCAAGATTAATCCTTGTCCAAATATATGTAATTTTATTAGCTACCTACAAAGTAGTCAGTTGGCTCAGAGAGGGTCTGATGTAGTTGGAACATACAGTTCAGTTAAAAAAGGAAAATGCTGGCTGGGCACAGTGGCTCACGCCTGTAATCCCAGCACTTTGTGAGGCCAAGGCAGGCAGATCACCTGAGGACAGAAGTTCGAGACCAGCCAGGCCAATGTGGTAAAACCCCATCTCTACTAAAAATACAAAAATAAGCTGGGCATGGTGGCAGGCACCTGTAACCTCAGCTACTTGAGAGGCTGAGGTGGGAGAATCGCTTGAACCCGGGAGGCGGAGGTTGCAGTGAGGCGAGATTGCCCCACTGCACTCCAGCCTGGGCTGCAAGAGCAAAACTCCATCTCAAAAAAAAAAAAAAAAAAAAAAAAAAAGAAAAATGCTGATCATTCCATTTGGATGATTACTCTAAATCCACAAATGGCAAAGATTAAACAAATTTTACCTATGCACATAACAAGAACTTCACCAAACTTCTACTTAAAAATACTGCTTCCTCTTATAAAGGCAAGAATAATTTAGTATCTATACTCCATTATGACTGGCTATGGACATCTGTGAAAAATGAAGAACATCCATAATCTACAAACATGGGAATAGAGAAATATGAGTACAATGTTAAAATCAACAACCATTAATTATATAGTTATGTTTCAAAGCTTACCTGCCTAGTTCCTTTAGTTTCTTCTGAAATTTACAGTGGACTTTCCATTGCCATTTTCCTTCTGGAGTACTAAGTTCTTCAAGGAATGTCAAAAAATTTTTAAGGTTCTCTGTTAGAAATAATGAAGTTCCTTTTTAATTCAATAAATAATCATTCCACAAGTGAATTATGATGCTTTTTCATATTATGTAGAAACATCGACTTTCCTATGTACTCTTTTCATTTCTCTTTGTCTAAGGGAGACAGATCTATACATGCCTAAAACTCTAAGAATATAACATCTACATACAAAAGAACATGTTGATGACAGTAATACAAGAAGTGATTCAACTGCAGCAGGGGCAGAAAGCCTTGCTTTACACCAGATTTAGAGAAAATTATTGGTCTAAGAGAAGGGGAAAGAAATTTGAGGTAATAAAAGCTCAGGAAAAGACTGAAATGTACTAGTTATCTGTGAATGGCAGAATAAATGGACAGTACATTAAAAAGTATTAGAGTCAGAAGAGGAGTTATGTGCTCAAAAGAACATCACACCTTACCAATTGTGACAACCTCTGGATTTAGAATTGATTCATCAGATACGATAAAACCTCCAGATACAAATAATTCATTGTATGTATGATTTTTAACATCATCCAGGCTATCAACACCAGCAAAACTAACGCAGGGGAGCTTCTTTAAAGTCACCAAGCCAGGTATCTGTTTAAATCCCAAAATAAAAAGAGAAACAGATGGATGAGGGAATGAAGTGATAGACTCAAGTGTGAAGGAACCTACAGGAAGTCTAACAGAATGCATTATGGCTCATCTGTATTAGTAGATTGCCTCTGGAAAGCCATACACACAAATAATATTCTCAACATTATTTCCCAATATATAAACCAACATTTATGTACTGGGACCTATCGGAGACCACTAAAGCAGCTTACAATAGACCTGAAAACACAAAATGGACAAAAGCTGACCTCTCTATAACCTGTGAATACAGTCAGAATTCAGATGAAGGCAAAAGCCTATGTGCTGGAACAGTCAATCAGGAAAGGCATCCAAGATGTAAGATGTGAGATAGGGCTCCTAAGACTACATGGGATACCTCAAAATATAAGGGAAAAGGGGACTGGTCTGACAAAGACGGAGCACAAATAGGTTTTTCCTAGGACATACAAATGAAGATGAAAACATTAAGTAGTCAGCAGACCCAATGGCATTCAAGGATTCAGTACTCTTATTAGTCTTGACTACTTGAGTGACAGGGAAGATCCGTGATGTGCAGCAATTTAAAACTTTGCAGAGGTACAAACTTGAATCTCACAAGCTGATTCATAGATGGGTCCTTAAGTTTAATCTCCTTTAAAGCTTATTTTAAAAACACTAGTCTGCCAGACAGCAAGATTTTAAAATAAGGGAGTTTTTAAAACCAAAGTAAGTAGTGAATTTGACTTAATAGTCTACCTTGTGAATGAAACCTGCAATGTCTTCATTTTGAATAATAATCAATAGTTTATCTAATTTTGATCTTCTTTCCAAAAACTGTTCTGGATGACATTCTGTATTGCCTAATTTGATAAGATATTCCTGTTAAAGAAAAACAACTAAATCAATATTAAAATGCTTTTTTGTAAACATCAATTTAATACCAGAAATGCAAGATAAACTGATAAGCTTAAGTACTACTAGGACATTATTAACAATGAATGAATTTACACTCTAAGAGACCTTACAGACCATCAAATCTATTTTTTTTTTTTTTTTTTTTTTGAGACAGGCTATCACTGTTTCCCAGGCTGGAGTGCAGCGGAATGATCACAGCTCACTGCAGCCTTGACCTCCCAGGCTCAAGCAATCCTCCCACCTCAGCCTCCTGAATACGTGGCACTAGGCTCACATCACCACACCAGGCTAATTTTTTTTTTTTGGTAAGAGAGTCTCGCTGTGTTGCCCAAGCTGGTCTTAAATTCCTGGGTTTGATCATCCTCCTGCCTTGGCCTTCCAAAGTGCTGGGATTATAGGCATAAGCCACTGCACATGGCCCAAATCCACTTTTCTTTTCTAGAAGAGCAATCTAAAGGTCAGAGCTTCACCAATCACAGAGTCACAATGTTACAGCACTATGCAAAGCCAGCTAATTAACAGTGTGAGAGTAACAGAAAGAACTGTTAATTAGGCCAGGTTCTTAACCCAGCTCCTTTAGTTATTATAGAGGTTAATAATCGATTAGACTCTAGGTTGCCTGTAATACCTTAGAAACACTTTAAGGCAACCTAGAGTCTAATCATTAACCACTCCCTAGCTCCCATTTTCCTTTCCATTCTAAGCAGGCCCTTGGTTATTTGCAGCAGTATTAACTGGGATAAACGCCTTCAGAGTTAAGAACTTTCACAACCATAGCTCCTTTAATTCACAACAGCTCAAAAAGCATTTATATAGACCTTCATTATGTACAATAGTATTGACATACTAATAAGCCATTTCTGTCAAGTTTCTGTCTTCAAAGTAGACTCTCCCAACTAATAACTCTTCTTCCTCCATGCTGGTGAACATGGTACTGCCTTTCACAAGACACAGGCAGACTTCCATGCAGAGTTCCCTTTGCTCTCTGCTTGCTGGTGGAATCCTGAAACACTGAAGTAAACTGCAAGATCCTGGAGGTCATATTCCTCATTTCAGAGATTACTTTTAACATCAGCACAGCTGGTCAGACAGCTATAATAAAAACCCAGCTCACCTGACAACCTGTCTACTGCTCTTTCAACAGCTGCCTAAAGTGTCACCCCAAAGAGGAGGATGTTGTGCTAAAGCAGCACCTTCTACATTGATTTTGATCCAAGCTCTGGAACTTTTGGGCAGATCTCAGACCAGCTTAGTCAGTTAATGAAAAGGTAAATTACCATCTGACATGCCTCCTGATAATTTTTTTTTTTTTTTTTGAGATGGAGTCTTACTCTGTCACCCAGGCTGGAGTGCAGTGGCGCTACCTCGGCTCACTGCAAGCTCTGCCTCCCAGGTTCACACCATTCTCCTGCTTCAGCCTCCCCAGTAACTGGGACTACAGGTGCCCATCACCATGCCTGGCTAATATTTTGTATTTTTAGTAGAGATGGGGTTTCACCGTGTTAGGATGGTCCCGATCTCCTGACCTCATGATTCACCCGCCTCAGCCTCCCTCCTGGTAATTTTTGATGTCTTCTTACATTAAGAAGCTTTAAGTTGATTTAAAATAAGACAGTTTAATTCATATAATAAATCAGTTTGACTCCAGAAATATTTAAAGTTTACATTTTTATTCATAAAGTCTTTTACTGTAGTATTTTTGCTGGAATATTTCCAATGGATATTGATTAAAAGAATTAAGGTTTCAATCTGGTTTTCTATCAGATTCGTAAAACAAAGAATGCTCTTTTATTCTATATAAATGACAGAAATGACTTGTTCTATGCCAGAAAAAATTAAAAGCACATTTCATTAGGAAATGCATCTCCTATCCCCGTAATCTAAATGTCACGGCAGGGTGCGATAGCTTACGCCTATAATCCCAGTACTTTGGGAGGCCAAGGCGGGCACATCACCTAAGGCCAGGAGTTCAACACCAGCCTGGCCAACATGGTGAAACCCCGTCTCTACTAAAAATACAAAAAATTAGCTGGACGTTGTGGTGGGTGCCTGTAATCCCAGCTACTTGGGAGGATGAGGCAGGAGAATTGCTTGAACCTAGGAGGTGGAGGTTGCAGTGAGCCAAGATACTGCTATTACACTCCAGCCTGGGCAACAAGAACAAAACTCCATCTCACTAAATAAATTTTTTAAAATGTCAAATAGGTGTGTTACAAATCTTTTTAAAAAAGGAGCAGGGGGTTGGGGGTGTGGGGGTGGAGGGAGTTGGAATTATGCTAAGCACACTCGGAACTGGGCGCAACCTATTCTCTCATCTAGCCCCAAACCAAGATGCAGCTATGCCCCCAAAGAGTACTGTGCTTGGGAACTCACTGCTGGCTGGTGGGGAAAAGTTGAGAAACTCTACAGTCAGTCAATGCAACCAAGGAATTCCTAGAAGTCTCATTTCATTTTCCCAAGAAACCATTAGGAATCAGTAAGGAAAGCCCAACAGAGTACTCTGACTCATGTCATTTCTATGTTCTTCAGGTCTTGACCAGGTGACGTCACACGAAACATGCTGACCTCAGAGATGTCCAAACTGACAAAAGGCTTAGGACATGTTAGTAGCTATAAAGCCCATGGTCCCTCTGATTCCTCTAATGAAATTCCAGTCATGGTAAGTAAACTCTATAAATGAGAGCAGACATTTATTTCAAAATCTTAGGCATTCCCTTGAGGAATTAAAATCCCATAATTTATTGAGTATTAATTTTAATATTACACCACTAATACAATTGCTCCAATGTGTTACCATTTACCTACCTACTGGTAACAAACTTACATATCTATCTCTAACATACAGACACACAGAAAGGCGTGTGTGGTTTTTTTTTGAGACGGAGTCTTGCACTGTTGCCCAGACTGGAGTACAGTGATGCAATCTCGGCTCACTGCAAGCTCCGCCTCCTGGGTCCACGCCATTCTCCTGCCTCAGCCTCCCAAGTAGCTGGGACTACAGGAAGCTGCCACCATGCCCGGCTAATATTTTTGTCCTTTTAGTAGAGACGGGGTTTCACTGTGTTAGCCAGGATGGTTTCGATTTCCTGACCTCGTGATCCACCCACCGCAGCCTCCCAAAGTGCTGGGATTACAGGCGTGAGCCATAGCGCCTGGCCATCTGTGTGTTTCAACCAAATATCTGAAATATTAGTCTGCAGCTTCGGTAGAAAAAATACACCTCACAGTGAGAAATCTTTCGTGACTGAGTAGTCTTTCAAGATTATCAGGTTTCTTGATCAATAAAGGATAAAGGGAATGTAACATGGCTAGGGTATCAAGAAATACCAAAAGTTTATCATTAAGCCAACCCTGGGCAGTTTGTTTTTCTATGTGATTGATCAAATCCCATGAGATAAACCCTGGCAACTTAATTTTTCCTCTCTGTGTTTTTCCTTCCTCTTCATTAAAAATCCAAGAAATGGCCAGGCATGGTGGCTCACGCCTGTAATCCCAGCACTATGGGAGGCTGAGGCGGGTGGATCACGAGGTCAGGAGTTCCAGACCAGCCTGACCAACATGGTGAAACCCTGTCTCTACTGAAAATACAAAAAAAAAATTAGCTGGGCATGGTGTTGCATGCCTGTAATCCCAGCTACTCGGGAGGCTGAGGCAGGAGAACTGCTTGAACTCGGGAGGCAGAGGTTGCAGTGAGCCGAGATCACACCACTGTACTCCAGCCTGGGCGACAGAGGGAGACTCCATCTCAAAAAAAAAAAAAAAAAAAAAATTCCAAGAAACACTTCAAACCTTCAAATCAACAGTTTAAAAGGTATGTGCATAAATGACACTGTAAAACAAGATTCTAAATTCTAACATATTTAAACCCCAAGTTCTGAATTTACTTGGACTTACCACTCTTTTATTCCACCCTGAGTTAAATTATGAAGATATACAATCAACATTTATTTTTATTATTTATTTTTAGAGACAGGGTCTCACTCTGTCACCTAAGCTGGCACAATCATAGCTAACTGTAATCTTAAATGCCTGGGCTCAAGTGACCCTCCCACTTGAGCTTCCCAAGCAGCTGGGACTACAGTAGAGTGCCACCACACCTATTTTGTTATTAAGAGACAAAGTCTTGTTATGTTGCCCAGGCTGGTCATGAACTCCTGGCCTCAAGCAATCCTCCTGCCTCAGCCTCCCAAGTTTTGGAATTACAGGTATTAGCCACCATGCCTGGCCTATGGTAAACATTTAAACACAAAAAACTTCCATTTTATACAGGTCACACCAACAAGAGAAGTTTGTACAGCATTACTATTACCTTCTCGTTTAGTTACCTTTATTTCTTTACAGAGCACACTCTCTTCTTCTTCATGAATATAAAATTTCACAGTATTTTTCTGGACATCTTTCATGATTTTAACCAAACTATTAAATACTTCAGGTTCTAACTGGCTTATAAAATTTGAAAGAGCCGGTTGAGCAGAAATGTTTACATCACTGGGGGATTTTGTTGTTTCTTCTACTGGTTCCCGGGCCATATCACCAGGTACAGTATGATCAGAAGTCACCGTTAACTCTGTGGCATGTTGAGGCTGGTTCATTTCTACTTCAGTTAAACTCAAAGTCGAAGTGGAATGCTGCTCATTAGAGTTGGTGTCTTTCAAAGGATCACTACACAGTGGCTCAAGGAGATGTTTATTGTTGAAGTCACTTGAGGAAACTGGTATGACATGCCTTTCCAGAAGATTCGATGCTATCTTAGCACCAGAATCGTTAGGACTGACTGGTGGCAAATTCCCACCCTTGGCTGATGCTTTAATAATAATAGTATTTAGCTTCTCATGCAAACCATCTACAAACTCCTGCACACCAGCTTTGGAAGTCTTAGAATATATGAACTCGGAAAGCCGTTTCATCTTCTCTTGTGTTGTAAAGATAGGTGTGGAAACTCTACTGACATATGAAACATTCTTTTGCTTCAAAATCTCTTCTATCTTCCTAGAAAAGAGATTGTACTCTCCTAACACTGTCCTCTCTGTGGTTTCGCTCACTGCAGGCGGCTCTGCCTCTGCTGCTGGCACACACTGCTCCTCCACCTGACCTGTCAACACGTCATCCTCAGTGGTGCCCTTTAGTGTGTCTGTAAATGGAGAGGATGGAAACTGGTAATCAGAACTTCTCTGTCTATTTATTACCCGGGGGTCGTTAGGAAAGGCCTCCTGTGGTGGCACACACACCAGTTGTTCTTCTGGTGATTTCATACCTATACAGGAAGAGTTCATTATTATAAGAGCAATCCAAAAATATAACATATGAAAACACAGACCCTTAAATTGGAGGGAAAAAAAGGGTTAACACACATTAAGAACTAATTATATATTAGAAAGTAAAATAAAATCCTAAAATTCTGGTATGAATTCTATGCCCTATGTGCCCTACTTATGGGATGGTCCTTAAGAGTTGCAGCTAGTGTTAACAACTCTGCCATTTTGAAGTGTTCAAGCAAACACCAATTTGGCATCAATACAAATTAAGTCATTTGCTTATTTCTGCCTCCCTACCATTCTGTAGATCTAAGTTTAATACACGTTTTAATCAAGATGGTCAGTTGCATCAGCTTGCTCAATCCCTGTATTTATTATTTGCCAAGTAATATCTACTATGGTAATGGCCCCTTAGTGAGAATTCTGAGCGTAAGACAATTGTAAGAATACCAAACAGAAATGCTGTGGGAATAACTGTCAAAAGTTAAAAGTTGCATCTAGGATCTAGGATAATTAATTTTGTATATGCTTTCAGACTTGTTCTCACTTATGAGGTTGCTACGTAGATTTCCTGTAATGTCAGGGACTTCATTTTATCAGGAAATAAAACGAATAATAATAAGAGAAGAATATATTTCACAGCTGCACACTTTTGACAGTCCTTTCATAAATATTTTCCTTTTGTTTGGAAATAATTCTAAGAGAAAAGAGGATAGCTATACCTCATTTGAGATACAGAGGTTGGCTGATACTGAGGTTGGCTGATACTATGGTTAGCTGATACTAATGGGATTAAAACCTTTCACTCTTGACAAATAGCTCAACCCAAAAGATCAACTTTCCCCCCAAAAAATCCTAAATTCAAACAAAGTATGTTTTTGAAACGTCTGAAAAAGGGAACCCAAATTCCACTTTTAAGCAACAAGGGTTTGAAAAACATTTAACTTCAATTTTAGTGTTATATTTTAGGAAAAGAAAAAACTCATGATCTTTGCTTAGAAGACCTATACACAATTTTACCTGCTAAAAAATTATTGATTTTCCTTAAGCCTTGGCCAACTTTCCCTAACAAATTGCTGCTGTAGTATAGGAAATGGTGCCTCTAAATCAGGAAGTCCAGGTACAGGTAGTTTTCAAACCTACAGTAAAGATTTTGCTCACACTCATCACACTAGAAAAGGTTTAAATAGACTCACTAGGAGTCAGCTTATGACATTCTCTACCAATCCTTGTGGTTATCCTGAACCAGTACACTCATTAACTATTGCAAAGGCAATTTGTCAGCACAAAGAAAAGACCCAAGGTGGGTCTGTAGGCGGAGGTGAGAGGGGAACAAAATATCCAACATGCCAGGATAAGAATTAGAACTGTATGAAATTGATAAACCAGAAAATCCAAGTTCCATAAGATAATTAGGAATACTAAATACCCTGAATATCTTAAATCTGCAACATTAAAATGTGGTTTAGTACATATAAAGTGTCTGGAAGGATACACAAGAAATTGGTAACCATAGCTAATATACAGGGAAGAATCTAAGTGACCTGGGCTGGGGTAGTATTACTTTCTGAAGTATTTTTAGACTTCTTGAATTATGTATCATGTCAAATATCGGATATATTCAAAGAAAAAATGTTGAATTGCATCTCATAAAACACATGGGTTGGGGAGAACTACCTTAATTTAAAAAGTTCTGAATTATTTATTAGACATGGGGCCTCACTATGTTTCCCAGACTGGCCTTGAATTTCTGGCCTCAACTCCTCCTGCCTCAGTCTTCCAAGCAGATGGGACTACAGGTGCATACCACCACATCCGGCTATTTATTACTTTAAATGAAACAGTGGCTCCCAAAATGTACAGCTAAACAACCAACCAGTAAGTTTACTCCTGAAGGGTTACAAATAAAGGGAATACTTTTAACCTGCAATGTAACTTAAATCTACATGGAGAATTTTCCATAATTAAAAACCTCTAAACCAAATAGATCCCTTTATAAAATATAAATAATCACAACCTAATTTTATTTTGCACAAATTTCCCTGTATGATTTTATTAAGAACTTAACTGCTCAGGCGCGGTGGCTCATGCCTGTAATCCCAGCACTTTGGGAGGCCAAGGCAGGCAGATCACCTGAGGTCAGGAGTTCGAGACCAGCCTGGCCAACATGGTGAAACCTCGTCTCTACTAAAAAATAATACAAAAATTAGCCAGGCGTGGTGGCGGGCACCTGTAATCTCAGCTACTCAGGAAGCGGAGGCTGCCGTGAGCCAAGATTGCACCACGGCACTCCAGCCTGCCTGGGCAACAGAGCAAGATTCTGTTGCACAAAAAAAAGGAAAAAAAACTGTAATTACTTTGAAAAGATCTCCATCTATAAGTGATTGAAAACACCATACATGTCAATCTATAATAATGCTTTTGTTGTTGTTTTTTTCTTAAACAGAGTCTCGCTCTGCCACCTGGCTGGAGTGCAGGGATGCGATCTCGGCTCACTGCAACCTCTGCCTCCCAGGTTCGAGCAATTCTCCTACCTCAGCCTCCCGAGGAGCTGTGACTACAGGTGCAAGCCACCACGCTCAGCTAACTTTTTTATTTAGTAGAGACAAGTTTTTACCTTGTTGGCCAGGATGGTCTCAATGTCTTGACCTCCTGATCCGCACGCCTTGGCCTCCCAAAGTGCTAGGATTACAAACATGAGCCACCACGTTGTTTTTGTTTTTAACTTACTGCCATTAAATAATTGCAGTATTTTAACTTTTAAGTGAAAGGGGGGTAGTGAGTTCTCTAAAGGTACTATCAGTCAGATGTCACATTCTGAAGCATAAGAAAGATTACTACTAGCCGGGCACGGTTGCTCACGCCTGTAATCCCAGCACTTTGGGAGGACGAGGCAGGGAGATCACGGGGTCAAGAGATCGAGACCATCCTGGCCAACATGGTGAAACCCCACCTCTACTAAAAATACAAAAATTAGCTGGGCATGGTGGCACGCGCCTGTATTCCCAGCTATTCGGGAGGCTGAGGCAGGAGAATCGCTTGAACCCAGGAGGCAGAGGTTGTAGTGAGTCGAGATCATGCCACTGCACTCCTGCCTGGGTGACAGAGCAAGACTCTCAAAAAAAAAAAACAAAAAACTATTCTACTATTCTTAATGAGAAAAGAATTATTGATAGATGCAAAACATTGATCACGTCCTGACAGAATATTGCATCAAAGTACCAAACATGAGAGACGACATGAGTAGGCTCTAATTACCCTAAGTTCAACAGCAGGCAAAACTAATATATGGTAAAAGAAGTTGGATTAGCAATTACTTGGGAACAAGGAGAGTACTAACTAGGAGAATGCGGAAGAAAATCTTCTAGGATGCTAGAAATGTTCTATACCTTGATTTGGGTGGTGGTCATATACATATGTAAAATTTCAAAAAGCTGTACAATAAAGATCTGTGGCCAGGTTCAGTGGCTCACTTGAGGTCAGGAGTTCGAGACTAGCCTGGCCAACATGGTGAAACCCTGTCTCTACTAAAAATATAAAACTTAGCTGGGTGTGGTGGCACATGCCTGTAATCCCAGCTACTTGGGAGGCTGAGGCAGGAGAATCACTTGAACCCAGGAGGCACACGTTGCAGAGAACCAAGATCATGCCACTGCACTAGAGCCTGGGCAACAGAGAGAGACTCTGTATCAGAGGAAAAAAGAAAAAAAAAAAGATTTGTGAACTTTCCTCTATGTTATATATCTGTTGTTCATGGTTTCTTTTTTCAAACCATAATTTTCCTAGGAGATGGTAAAGATTTTCTTGAAGGAAGCTAGTAATTTTAATGGGGGGGGGGGGGTAGGGGAGAAACAACTCCCAAAGCAAAGAAATTACTACAAAGATGTAGTAAGAAAATCATTTCATATTTCTTTCAAATAAAAAAACAACACTTTTATTTCTGAGACAGATACAGTAAAACTGAAAGAAAATATAAAAAATATCACCACCAAACTATAAGCAAGACCATCTGCAGAGAAGCTGAATCCACAAAGCTCAAAGATTATCTCCTAGGTACCCACTGCCAACTAGCTAATCAGTAATATCTGCAATTGTTTCTGAAATCCAAGTTTCTTAATCTCTTATTTAAAGTACCTGCAGAAATCAGCTTTACAATCAGAACAACTAGGTTAAGACTATGAACAGTATACCTAAAATATAAATGGCTTCCCCTCTTGGCTATTTTTTAAAAATTTTAAAAAAAGAAACCCAGGCGTGGAGGCTCAAGCCTGTAATCCCAGCACTTTGGGAGGCCAAAGCGGGTGGATCATCGGAGGTCAGGAGTTTGAGACCAGCCTGGCAAACATGGTGAAACCCCGTCTCTACTAAAAATACAAAAATTAGCTGGGCATGGTGGCATGCGCCTGTAATCCCAGCTACTTGGGAGGCTGAGAAAGGTGAACTGCTTGAACCTGGGAGGCAGAGCTTGCAGCGAGCCAAGCTCACATCACTGCACTCCAGCCTGGGTGATAGAGCAAGATTCCATCTTAAAAAGAAAACGAAAACAAAAACAAAAAAAAGAGTTTCTCATAAGATATACTGCACAAATTGTTTAGGAATGTATTCCGGTCTTTCCAAATCATACTGTAAGATAGACTCTATTATGGGTGAAGAAAACTTAATCTATATAAATATTCGGTGACTTATTTGAACACTTTATAGTAAGAATATTGGATACAATTCAAGTAATGATTTACATACAAATAAATATGGTAGTGTCCAAATTTTCTGTAATTAAAAAAATTTAAATCAATGCCCTTATTGATGGAGTATCAGAAATGCAAGTAGCAATTCTGAAGAAGGGCACACTGGGAAGAAAAGCAAAGCAAGCCTTCTCACCTGGTGTTTGTTTCTCACCATGTTTCCCCAGCTGGTCTTCTGGGCTTCTTGCATTCCCTCCTGAGGGAAAGCATCCATTAGACTCTCTTCAGACATTAGTGATACCTACTAAGCACCTTTCAGACAACCCCAAGTGATAACAAATGCAAGCATTCCTTCTTCTGCCTAAAATAATCTGAAGAGTCATACTTGTAATGATGGAATATCAACACTTAAGACACTGTACCTTCAAATGACCCAACACCAAGTATGAAGGTGTCTAAATGAGAAACGGTGGTGTCTAAATGAGAAACGGTTAGGATAACCTTCTTGTATCAACTACTTCTTTTGTTTCTCCCACTCAAGCTGGTATTTCCACCTCATAAAACAATACTAGGTTCCCTCTATCATCACCTACAGGCCGCTTGCCCTCCAGAAAGGTGTTAAGTAGAAGATACTGCTAAACCCCATGGGAACTCATAAAGTTTTATAAATTCTTCTGAGTCCTCGGAAGTCTCAGCAGGTTCTAGTCTAGTTCATAGGCCAGTCTACTTTGTAACAAAAAGTTGTTTGCTGCTGCTATTGTTTTTAAAAGGTTAAAGATGTAAGACTGGAAAAGACATATACCCTGAAAATATTTTCAAAAATATTTAAGAAAAAGAACTTGGTATATTAAGTGTATGTATTTGTATGTTTGTATGTGCGTGTTTGCACAGAGAAATCAGGATGCTACCAAAAAAAAAAATTTCAACATCTGCTAAACTTTTTGCCTCATAGTTCAATAACATTTACATGTGATCATTGAGGCCATTCTCTAAGATAATCCAATTTATTTAAGATAATCCAGCATTAAGAAATCAAATTTCTAATAGATGAACCTCAACATTATCACTTACTAGATGACAGCTTGTTACAGTGAAGTTTAGTAAGTTTGAGAAGACATTTAATTGATTGTCCAAAGAGCACCATTTTATCTCTGCAGCTACCTCAGCTTATCAAAAACTCAGTTTCTGCCAACAGTCTTCATTCAGCAGTCTGCATGCTAAACTCCACAGAGAGAGTGTGTCTTAAATCCCTGTTTTTAAGGTGATTTTGCCGGTGCTTGCTGATGCTGACCAAGAACAGCAACACTCAGTATTACTTCGTATTACTTAAATAAGACACTGAAGGTATCAGCGCCAAGTGAGATGAAACACCTAGTGACCCAAGAGTGAAATCCAGAACAGATGGAAACCTTCAGGAAACTGGTCTCAAAGTAAAATGAAGCAAACCGAAGTCTAAGTATACTTTTCTTACCTGTAATTGGTATCAGTTTCCAATGTATTTCAGTCTCTTCAACATTATTTGACTTAGACTGTTGTCTACGAAATCCATGTTCAATGGGAACACTGGGACACAAACTGCAATCTTCAAAATTATTCACGCTAATTAAATCTGGATCCTAAAAATCAAAGTACACACTCAATAGCTTTCTTTTCAATTCATTTTAATGTCAAGAATAAACTTTTTTTCACAGTAAATTCATGTGCTTCAATCTAAATATTACAAATGTGTAAAATCAACATGGTAAAGTTACACTCTAGTCTCAAAACATAACTTTTCCCTCAAAACTTAATTTTATGTTAATTTAGAACAGGGATTGGTCAACTTTTATGCTAAAGTGCCAAACAGTAAATATTTTAGGCTATGCAGGCCAGACTCTCAAGTCTACCATAGGCAATACCTAAACAAATGGACATAGCTGTGCTCCATTAAAACTTTAGTTATAAAAATCGGTGGTGTGCTAGGTTCGCCCCGTGCCCCCGCCCCCCATCAACTTGATTTAAAATACAAAAGTTATCAGGAAAATATTAATACAGGTTAGTTCCTCAGTGCCTACCTTACATACCCCAACAAATAAGCTTCCTGTCATCATCTTCCCCTTGAAATAAATATCCCAAAACGACATGGAGAAAGAATGGGGACATGCATACAACTTTTAAACAAAGGCAGGGAACAGAAAATGGAGACAGTAAATGAAGAAGCAAGCCCATAGGAATATGGTGCCATCCTAGAACTATTCCCCAGTGACGCAGCGACTACTTAAGGGAGATAAGGCTACTTCTCAGCTACAAACCAGCACTCTGAACATATATCATAAATATACTGAACACTCCAATAAGCAAAGCTGCAAGTCACTTCAGAGGTAATCCTAAAGGCTACTTATGTCCCATTCCTATTTGCATAAGAAATACCAAGTACTTAACTTTGTTACACTGCTGTATTGAGACTGGTATCCTCACCTGTCTCACCTTTGGGTTCTCTGTTAGTGCCAGCAGAAAGCCAATGTTTTGATAATTCAACTTTATTATGAAACAATAAGGAATTAACTCCCAATAAGCCATTTCTGACAAATATTAATAGATTGTTCCACCTTAGCTTTATCACAAGTAAACTGTAGACAATAGATTAAGCTTCTAAGGAAGGAAGGAAAACTATTTCAGCATTTATCTCTTTGTAACAAGGAATAACTTAGGAAGTACCATCCTAGACAGGCACCTTTACTCAAAAGTGCATTTTATTTCTTTTTCAAAGAAAAAAATCATTCCCTGAAGCATACTCACAGCACCTCTTTCACACACACACTCACAAACACAAAGATAACCAACAGCTATATGCTTACTTCTTTCAAATGTAGCTTATGGTCAGTGCCCACTTCGGTGGTAGAAATAGCAACAGAATACTTAGATGTTGCATCAACTTCTAGTAATAAGCTCTGAGTACCCTTAAACTGTGCATTTTCAATTTTTGCACAAGTAGGCTGCTCATATTCTTTTTTATCTGGGTTAGAGTTCAACTCATACTCATGTTTTTGCCTCAGCTCTTCATAGGCATCATCAGTGCTCAATCCTAAGGCTTTGTTGACTGTGTCTGTCAGAGATGCATCAGAATGGCGTGCATTTGCTAGTGTTTCTGATAACCAATTAAACAGCCTATGGATGTCAGCAATGCCGGAGTTACAGGTATCCTGCTGCTGCCGCCTCAAGTCAGCATCATGTCCAAGTGAGCCAATAGGCTGTGGAGACTCTGAGAAAAAGGAAAGAAAAGTCATTGGTTGAAGTTAAGTTTAAAAACCAGCATAAAATTTTTGAAATCAAATATACCTAAAAAATTATCGTAAAGCATTTATGGTCAGGAACTCAACCAAACAATTTGCTTAGACTTTACAAATATCCGCATCACTTTACAAATAGAATTGTAAAATTTTGCACATAGTTCAAAATTGCTATTTAAGTTTAATTTTCATTGTAATTTAAGCATTCTATCAACAGGAAAATAAGCTCATGCATCAGGTTTTAAATATGTGTATTAATAACTCTACCATCAAAATCTCAAAGTCAACCAGATGCCTGACAAGAGATGAAACATTTGTACTTGCTATTTTGCCAATTGTTAGGATTATATGCGTATTACACTAGGCTAATAAAAAAATGACTTAATTTGATTTCTATCTTTTCCATACCTACTATATTTTGTCCTTAAGGCACTGGCAGACACACTTAAAATCTACACCTTATCTTGAATGACTAGATTACTTAAATTCATAATGAAGCTAGGATATTACAGACATAAAATCATCTTGAAGAAATCTCCACGAAATTTGCATCAAGAAAAAGCATTATAAGAGGAAACACGTTAAGACATGGTTCCATGCATGCACTATAAATCTGTATAATCTGTAACAACTAATATATTTTAAAACTTGTAAAGGGAGCAAACATTCAGAAAGTCATGTGCTTTAATGTTGGGTTGGGGTAGGGATTGGGTGAAGCCTGAGTTAGGATTTCTAATTTGAGTGTAATGTACCACAACAAAAATAAATGTCAGAAACAAAGGAGTGCATACTGTATGATTCTAATTATGTCAACTTTTTATAGAGCAGGCAAAACTAATCTCTAAAGACAAAAAGCAGATCAGCAGCAGAGTGGGGTGAGCTACCTAACAAAGAACACAAAGCAACATATAAAAATGTTCTGGCCAGGCACGGTGGCTCACGCCTGTAATCCCAGCACTTTGGGAGGCCAAGGCGGGGGGATCACAAGGTCAGGAGATCGAGAACATCCTGGCTAACAAGGTGAAACCCCGTCTCTACTAAAAAAATACAAAAATTTAGCTGGGCATGGTGGCATGCGCCTGTAGTCCCAGCTACTCGGGAGGCTAAGGCAGGAGAATCACTTGAACCCAGGAGGCAGAGGGTTCAGTGAGTCGAGATCGTGCCACTGCACCCCTGCCTGGGTGACAAAGCGAGACTCCGTCTCCAAAAAAAAAAAAAAAAACAGTTCTATAGGCTCACGCCTGTAATCCCAAAACTCTGGGAGGCTGAGGAGGGTGGATCACCTGAAGTCAGGAGTTCGAGACTAGCTCGGCCAACATGGTGAAACCCTGTCTCTACTAAAAATACAAAAATTAGCTGGGTATGGTGGCGCACACCTGTAATCCCAGCTACTCGGGAGGCTGAGACAGGAGAATCACTTAAACCCAGCAAGCAGAGGTTGCAGTGAGCCGAGATCAGGCCACTGCACTCCAGCCCGGAAGACGGAGTAAGACTCCATCACAAAAAAAAAAAGTTCTATATACTGGAGTGGTGATTACACAGCTGTCAAAACTCATCAAACTGTGCGCTTAAATAGGGACACTGATATAAACTGTACCGCAAAACAGTTTATGTTAAAAGTTATAAGGGGTGGTGGGAATGGGTTAGGACGTTACCTCATAAAATGACTGGGCTCACCACCAAATCAAGATCAGGGTGTTTTAAAAGTTAGAATACAGCCAGGTGCGGTGGCTCACGCCTGTAATCTCAGCACTTTGGGAGGCCGAGGCGGGCGGATCATGAGGTCAGGAAATTACTATCCTAGCTAACACTGTGAAACCCTGTCTCTACTAAAAATACAAAAAAGTAGCCTGGTGTGGTGGTGGGCACCTGTAGTCCCAGCTACTTGGGCAGCTGAGGCAGGAGAATGGCATGAACCCAGGAGGCGGAGCTTGCAGCGAGCCAAGATCGCACCACTGCACTCCAGCCGGGGCGATAGAATGAGACTCCGTCTCAAAAAAAAAAAAAAAAAGTTAGAATACAACTTTGAAATCTCTACCTTCAGAAACAAAGTATGCAAAATTACTTGAAAAGAAATAAGTGAGAAACACCTAAAAATGCAGGTCTGACAGTCACTAGTTTCAGTTAAGCTATATACCCTTCTTCTTCTGCCACATTTCTCATTTGACCTATTATAATTAGTATGGCTTTCTCATCATTTTAATTATTGATGAAGCCTGATTTTTACCCACAACTATTTTTTCCACATACACAGAACTGGTTACCAACAAAAACAGTACCAAAAAATACGTATCTTATTTATTCAGTGCATATTACGTGCTCAGTGACAGGAAACGCAGCAGTTTGTGAACAATGCTTTGGAGTCAGTCAGAACTGACTTTGGATTGTGCCACTAACTTCATAACTTTTGGTAAAGTTATTTAACTTATCTGAGATGATTTTCTCATCTGCAAAATTGGGATAATAATGCCTACTACTCAAGAACTATTAATAAAAGAGTTCATATACATAAAGTACCTAGCACACAGTAAACAAAACTCTCAAGACATGTCAACAAGATAAGACAATTAAGTGCTAACGGGTTCAGCAGATTGCAAATCCAGCATAAACTAAAGGAGGAGATCATTAAAGAGAACAGACAGAAAGCTGAGGAGAAATATGAACTGCAAAGATATAAGGCTTGAAAGAAATGGAAGCTACTTCAGGAAAAAAAAAGAGGGAAATAAAAGACTGACCATGACATACTCTAGGCAGAGAGAGATGACCCTTAACCAACACATGTAAGAGAAGAGTGGGAAACATGGGGGGATATGGATAGTCTATAACAAAGCTTTAAAAGGCAAGTATGTAAGATGAGATTGGTAGTAAATTAGCAAAGCAATACTGAGAAGAACATGATACTGAAACGGGTGCACGAAGGTAGTAAGTCAGGAAGGCCACCAAAGAGATAAAGAACACGGACAAGGAATAACAACATTGGAAAGAGAGACACACAGGTTAACTAATGAAAACATGATAGTTACTGCAAAGAACAGTAATGTCAAATAGAACTTTCTGCAATAATGGAAATGTTCTCTCTCTATACTAATACAATGGTGTGGTTGTTGAAATGTATTTTTATTTCATTTTAAACTTAAATAACAACATATGACTAGTGGCTACCATATTGAATACCATATAACAATAAAAAAGTTAAAAAAGAGCAGGCTGAGTGTGGGGGCTCACGACTGTAATCCCAATACTTTGGGAGGCCAAGGCAGGCGGATCACTTGGTGTCAGGAGTTCAAGACCAGCCTGGCCCATATGGCAAAACTCCGTCTCTACTAAAGATACAAAAAGTAGCCAGGCACAGTGGTGTGTGCCTGTAATTCCAGCTACTAGGGAAGCTCAGACATGAGAATCATTTGAACCAGGTAGACAGAGGTTGCAGTGAACCAAGATGGAGCCACTGCACTACAGCCTGGGTGATGGAGTGAGACTTTGTCGCAAAAACAAATAAATAAAGAGAGCAGGAAAGTGAAAAGTGAGGATACAAATACAGATTGCTAAGAGCAAAAGTGTGAAAAGACACTGATCTGACTAACCTAGACTAAGACACACTGAATTTGAAAAGACAAGTTGCTTAATAAAAAACCTAAGAATACTCAGTTCTGCCATAATCACTCAGAGGAGCAACAGCAGCAGGAAATGTGGATTGTTAGGTCAACTTTCTCTGAATGCAAAAGAACTCATTTCGTGCTTATGAACTAGTAGTGTTAAGATCTTAAAAATCCAGATAAAAGTGTTTTAGCTGACTTGCAATATTGAAACAAACACACTTAAAACAAGCACCTTACTGTCTTATCTTTTTCTGTCAACCAAAACAAAACAAAGGAAAAAAGAACAACAAAAAAAGAAAAACCCAAAGATATTCCTAGATTCTTGGGGTATAAAGGAATACGTGTATGCATATTTTATTTTCAAATTCAGAAGGTTCCTTTTCATTATGCAACAGCCTAAAAGATACTAATATTCTAATACTATACTTCTTCAACTATAAAAATAAAGGAATATGGCCGGGCGTGGTGGCTCACGCCTATAATCCCAGCACTTTGGGAGGTCGAGGCGGGTGGATCACGAGGTCAGGAGATGGAGACCATCCTGGATGACATGGTGAAACCCCGTCTCTACTAAAAATACAAAAAATTAGCCAGGCTTGGCGGCGGGCTCCTGTAGTCCCAGCTACTCGGAAGGCTGAGGCAGGAGAATGGCGTGAACCTGGGAGGTGGAGCTTACGGTGAGCTGAGATCGTGCCACTACACTCCAGCCTGGGCGAGAGAACGAGACTCCGTCTCAAAAAACGATAATAATAACCATTAAAAAATACAAATTAAGGAATATAAAAGGACAAGAGCTCTGATTAGTATTATTATGTCATGTTAACATAAACCAAACAATTTAGAAATCTGATGTTCCAGTGCAGGAATTGTAAAGTGTTTCCTGTACTGGGCCAGGTAGCAAATATTTTAGGCTTTGTGGGCCATACAGTCTCAGTGCCAATGCCAACTCTGCCATTACAGCATGAAAGCAGCTACATACATATGGCTGTATTCAAATACAACTTTCTTTAAAAAAATAGTGGACAGGCTGAATTTGGCCCTCAGGCTTTAATTTATATGCCCCTCTACTACAGGAAAGAACAGAACTACTTTATTTTTGGTTGTTATTATAAGAGCAATCTGATATTTTACCTTCATACAGATGGCAATTTTCAGATAAATTACTGGTTTTGGCGAGCTTTCTCATATTTTCAGGTAGATCCTCAAGCTTCCTCTTCAAGACAGTTTTGCTTCTCATATCTTCGGTGTCTGAGTCCCCACCCACATTCTTTTTCCTACACTGAATTAAATTAATCAATTCTTTGACTCTATCCTTATCATAATCCAAAGAATGAGATGATCTTTGCTTTCCAGATATAATGGTTTCACCCCTTGAGTTATTTCGTTTTCCAAATTTCATTTTTGTACCATTCACTTCTTCTTCTTGACCTTCATAATCTGAAAGTGGACTAAACTGTTGAAGTTTTCTATTTTCTTCAAATAGTTCTTTTAATTTACAAATAGGTAACTGATACACTTCAGGCCGAAAAATATAGGCATGCAAACAAGTATCAATATGGGATTTATTTCTGGGAGCTGAGTATAAGAACTTTTTATCATCTAACCGTGAATCATATGGAAACATAATAAACTCTCGTTTACCTGAACCAAAACCTCGCTTAAAAAATTCACTTACATACTTTTCAACAACAGAATGGAAATTTATAGTGCTTATATTTTTAAATTCCTTTCGACACTGAATCAAAGAAAATTGTAAAAACTGAGCTATTTTTAATACATCTGGCATGCTCTCATGCCTCTCCTTTGGTGCTGCATTGGTTGAACCTTTTTGTGCTGTAAATAAAACAAACAAAAAAAAGCAAACCATGTTAGCAATCAAGAAACTAATCAAATACAGATCTAAATATTGCCAAAGAAGTGTAAAAACATTTATACATTAATGTTGAACCAGACGAGTATGTACCCTAGTATATACATACAATATAGCAAATATATGAATAGCATGCTTGTTAAAAGTCCAGAAACCTGTAATAGGCCAGTAAGAAACTAAAACAAACGAAAGAGCAGAACACATTTTTAAAGGAAAAATCACCCACTCATTGAAGATTTCACTTCCAACTGCCCCCAGGAAATTCAAATAGTGGCAAGCAACATGTAAGAAGAAATAGAGACAGAACAAGATCTGAGGCTCCAAGCAAAACAGTCCTGCATGTCATCCCTTCCTCATATAAAGTAGTAACTAACTTCACATGAACAGATATGCAGATGCTGAGTAGCCACAATTGAGAAACTCATCCTTAATCCAACAGTGAAATAAAGCCATTAGTGGGAACTTTATCTTAATACATAGTATTAATGTTCATTCTTAGAAAAGGTGGTTAACAAATCTTGTCTTATATCAGCGCCAAAAATTCTTATTAATTTTGAATGGTCTAATATTTATCTTGGCAAATTATGCTTTACAGTTACTAAAATTTGAATGCAAAATTAAACTAAGCTAAAAAATAATCATACAAAACCCTCACAGACCGGGCACAGTGGCTCATGCCTGTAATTCCAAAAGCTTGGGAGGCTGAGATAGTTGGATCGCTTCAGGCCAGGAGTTCAAGAACAACCTGGATAACACAGTGAGATCCTGCTTCTAAAGGAAAAAAAAAAAAAAAATTTAATTTAGCTAGGTGTGCTGGCACACGCCTGTAATCCCAAGCTACTCGAGGCTGAGGCAGAAGGACTGCTTGAGCCTAGAAGGGAGGGCAAGGCTGTATGTAGTGAGCCATGATCACACCACTGCCTGGGCAACAGAGTGAGACCCTATATCTAAAATAAATAAATAAGTAACCCTCATAACTAAGCTACAGTACTATAACAATTATAATCAAGCTTTATGAGAGCACTGATATACACAAATTAATTTCTCACAGTTAAAAAAAAAAATCGTTGCCCAGGCACAGTAACTCACACCTGTAATCCCAGCACTCTGGGAGACCGAGGCAGGTGGATCACTTGAGGTCAGGAGTTCGAGAGCAGCCTGGCCAACATGGTGAAACCCCATCTCTACTAAAAATACAAAAAATTCGCCGGGCATGGTGGTGGATGCCCTGTAATCCCAGCTACTCAGAAGGCTGAGGCAGGAGAATCACTTGAATCCAGGAGGCGTAGGTTGCAGTGAGCCGAGATCACGCCACTACACTCCAGCCTCGGCAACAAGAGCAAAACTGTCTCAAGAAAAAAAAAAAAAAAGTCGTATAATTTGTGTCTTTTATTGCTAATTACCTCTTAACCACCAGTATTTCCTGAAACATCATGTAAGAAAGGCAAAATGTTTAGTGAGTTATCTGGAAAATTTCAATGAAATGTTAAGTATCTATAAGTAACTAGATTTAGATATTCAAAGAACTTACAAGTAACTATGCTTCTAGGTTCTTGAAATAGAAACAAAGCATGTAGGACTCGAGACTTGGCAGTCTGATATTCTAAAAAACAGAAGCCAAACTCATTAGCAATGTGTTTTAACTAAAAAGTTAAGAAAGAATTGTAAAAATTAAAGAGAGACCACCTACCATATGGAGGAACCATCTGATAAGGGGAGAGAAGAAAAAGGTATCCTCGGTCTCCCAAAGGTTTAACAAGAACCTGTATTTTGAGGGGAAGGAAGAAGTTGTATCTGCTTTATTATTATTCACCATAAGGCAGACACACAGCATTTTCTACTAATTGTAAAGAAAAAGAGTTCTTAATCATCTTTTAAGAAAAAAATATTGCTAATGAATTAATTAACTCTTTCTACCAACTCTGCTAACAGGATTCCAATCAAATAAAAATTCCTTGGTTTTCATAACATTAACGAGAAAATGTTACTGAAAGAACTCCCCTAACTGCAAAACCACGTTAATTTTTCCCTGAAGCTAAAATACAAGGATGGACCAAACTAAAGACTTCAAATATTTTCGTCATCAATTCAAAAGATATGTTTATTAGTGGCCAAAGTAATGTGCTAGATGCTAGATATAAAACAGGCTTTGAAACACTGCGTTGCAAGAGTTCGGACTAATCGCAAACCCAATGTGTTTCCATAATCGAATTGCACACATATTACATGAACACTTTCACATGTAAGGCAATTTGCCCAGAGATAACCAAATACAAGCAACACAAGATCCTTGATCACAAGAAGTTTATAATTAGGTAGAGAGTAACACAAGAAATACCAGTAACTACATAAGACAGAAAAGTTCCCTAAGAGATTTACAAAATAATAGAAATAGAAAAATACAGTTTGTTTACAGTAGTAAAAGATGGTCAAGAAAGGTTTACTGAAAGTGTATCAAAAGTGGATTTTGAAGGATGGGTACACTGACAAGAGTCTGAGATTGTGGGAAGGACATTTCAGTAGAGGCAACACCATGAGCAAAGGTGAGTTATAATGGACAGTTTACAAACATCACAGTTATTTATCACTGGCAAGAGGGTGAGGACAGACTAGGATAAATGTGTAAGACAAGTCTGGAATGAAAGATCATAGGTTAGCTGTAAAAAGACCAGAAGCCAGGTTGGCCAAGAATGTCCTTCAGAGCATACGCCTTTGAGCTAGTGTTTCCTTAAAACAACAATAACAAAAAAGACTTGACAGCACTGTGCAGGAGGCGGCAGAAAAACAATCTAATGCAAAGAATTCATTTCAGGGGCTACTGCAATAGTTCACAATGTTTTGGGTAAATGAGAAACTGAGCAAGGCAACTGAACACAAAAGGATACCTGAGTTCTGAAAGAAAACTTTCATTACCTAAATTCCTACTAAAACAATTCCAGTAAAATGTCTGTATAAAAACTAATAATTCAGAGGACAAAAAGTAACTGTGCTACTAATTCACATTTAATAAAAACACTGAACACTCAAAAGTAAAGTGGTATTGTGTTTGGGGGGTTTCAGGTAGTCTTAGTTGATCACCTTCTCCAGGGTCAACTTCTCCTTCAGTTCAATCTGTGCCAAAAATCAGTCATAGATACCTGTTGCTCAAAGAGTTTATTTTAGTGGAAGCAGGCTGGTGGCATGGGCCAGATACAGTCAGGGGGTCAGATGACCAAATGACTAGGAAGGTCTCCATCTGAAGATCACTCTAAACTTTGGGGCATCTTTCCCCATTTTTACTGCCTGTATTCCGTGAGGGTCAGTTACCAGGTCTTTCTTTTATAAAGGAAGTTTAATCTTGTAAGGGCAAACTTTGTTGTAAGGTTTCTAATAGTTACATCTGTGCTGCACTGGCCTTGTTTCCTAAAAATCCCAGGGCCAAGGTTAAAAAATCCTCAGGCCAAGTTACATCATACTGCTGACATATAGTATTGGCTCTGCAAGACATTTAACTGCGTCTTATGGCTACCATTTATAGCCACGCTAAGTCTCTTAGAGTATACTACAAGTGGACAACGTACCTGAAAAATTTGTTTCAGACACAAATACTTTTATTTAAAATATTTTAGATAATATACTTCTTTTAATATTTTGCCCAAACTCCTAGTTGATGAAATAAAAAGTTAGGAAGCACAAGTAAGATTTTCATGTTTTGTGCTCACTGATGAAAACCAATTAGATGCCTTTAACCTCTCACTCACTCCAAATACTAGGTTTTATAAATTCCACTACTAGTAACCTAAAGATTCCTATACTTAAGGGGTCCCAATGTTTCTAAAAATCCATGGAGTATAGGCAATCTATAATCAGAAATAACACTAAGGCAGACAGAGGCCTTCAGCAGTTGTATCTGTGGCTTCAGCCCAAAGAAATCCATTCAGCTCTGCAGAAAAGAAAAATCCTGGAAATTGTGCTCCTGTTGCCTCTATTTTAACTGTTTGGTTATTCTTTAAAAAAAAAAAAAAAAAAAGTATTAATCCAATCTGTGGGATTTTTAATTAGTTGATTCTACTATTTTAAATTTCCAGATAACATTAAAGGTACTATGGCACTCCCCAACCCCCACAAAAAAAGAGTTAGTATAAACCACATGTACAATGGGCCAAGCACAGTGGTTCATCCCTGTAATCTCAGCACTTTCGGAAGCTGAAGTGGGAGGACTGCTTGAAGCCAGGAGTTCAAGACCAACCTGGGCAACACAGTAAGCCCCCATCTCTACAAAAAAAATTTTAAAAGTAGCCATGTGTGGCATCATGTGCCTATAGTCCTGGCTACTTGGAAAGCTAAGGTGGGAGGAGGATTGTTTGATTCTGAGAGTTCAAGCTGTGAAGCTGTGATTGTGCCACACGCTTTAGCATTTCAGCCTAGGCAACAGAGTAAGTCCTGTCTCAAAAAAAAAAAAAAAAAGCTTAGAAGGAAATAAGCTATACTACAGTAAGATTGAGCAGAAAAAAAAAAAAGATTCAAACACTCAAAGGCATCAAAAATTGGAATTATCAGATGCAAAATGTAAAATAATCCACTATGAAATGTTTAAAGACATAAAATAATTGGAAGAATTAAAAACATTTTCACACAAAAATGTTTACACTAATGTTCCTAACACCATTATTCATAGCAGCCAAGAAATGGAAATAATTGATAAAAGAACAAACAAAATGTGGTATTATCTATACAATGAAAGAATACTGGGCCATAAAACAGAATGAAGTTCTGATACATGCTACAACATCAATGAGCCTTGAAAATTACGCTCAGTGAAAGAAGCCAGGCAGGCACTGAAAGCCACATATTGCTTGATTCTATTTATATAAAATATCCAGAGCAGATAAATCCATAGAGACAGAAGTAGACTAATGGCTGTCAGGGATTGGGAAGGGGGAATGTACAGTGAATTCTGAGATGAAAATGTCCAGGAATTAGACAGTGTTGATAGTTGCACAACAGTGTGAATCCACTAAAAAAACCATGGAATTATATACTTTAAAATGGCTAAAATGGCCGGGCACGGTGGTGCACACCTGTAATCCCAGCACTTTGGGAGGCCAAGTTCAAGAACAGCCCAGGCAATATGGCAAAACCCTGTCTCTACAAAACATACAAAAATTAGGCAGGTGTGATGGTATGTACCTTTAGCCCCAGCTACCCAGAAGGATGAGGTAAAAGGATCACCGGACCCCAGAAAGTCAAGGGTGCAGTGAGCCAGGACCACACCACTGCACTCCAGCCTGGATGACAAAGCAAGATCCTGCCCATTTAAAAAAAAAAAAAAAAAAAAGGCTAAAATGGTTAATTTGATGTTACGTGAGTTTTATTTCACTTAAAAAAATATTAGCAAAGAATACCAGAATATAATGTGCACCTCCTAGAACTCTGCCTGGCATATAATAGGTACTCACTAAATACTTCTGAAAGAATTAACAAGAACTTGCTATGAAATAACCAGGCAGATCCAAAAAAATTCAAATATAACTTTTAAAAATAAAAAACATGTGCTGTGAAATTAGAAACACAATAAATAAAGCAACAAATGAGACATAGCTAAATATATGATTTTTAAATTAGAAAACAGTTACGATGAAGTTAATTAGAATGCAGTACAGAGAAACAAATAGATGGAAAATGTAAGACGAGGTTAACAGACATGGAAAATATGCCTCTTTAGAGTCCTAAAAAGACAGGCCAGGCCGGGTGCGGTGGCTCAACGCCTGTAATCCCAGCACTTTGGGAGGCCAAGGTCAGTGGATCACCTGAGGTCAGGCATTAGAGACCACTGGCCAACATGGCGAAACCCTGTCTCTACTAAATATACAAAAATTAGCCAGGCGTGGTGGCACACACCTATAATCCCAGCTACTCGGGAGGCTGAAACAGGAGAATTGCTTGAACCCAGGAGGTGGAGGTTGGAGTGAGCCACGATTATGCCACAGAACACCAGTCTGGGCAACACAGTGAGACTCCGTCTCAAAAAAAAAAAAAAAAAAAAAAAAAAGCAGGCTAAAGAAAATGAGGGAGAAGTACAATAAAAGAGGTAACTAATTTTCCAGAAAAAAAGATGTAAATCCACAAGTATGAAAGGAAAAATATACCAAGGTGGATAAATAGAAATCTACACCTAGATACTGTAACTGCTAAACAGCAAAGACAAAAAAAAAAAAGGTTTAAAAAGTAGCCAGGGGGTGGCAGGGAACCTACAAAGCAACAATTAGACTGAGAGCTAACCCCTAAATAAAAACAGAAGCCAGAAGACACTGCAGCATAGTCAAAGTGCAAGAAAATAGCTGTCAACCCAGAATTGTGTAGCCAGCACCCAACAATTATAGGTTATACATTTTTCTCAAACACAGAACTCAAACACAGAAGGAGCATGTACAAAAATTAACTACCTAGATCTTAAAGTCTCAACAAATTTCAAATAATCACCACTACTGTTGATTACAATGCAATTAAATTAGAAATAAAAAAAGACGAAAGTATCTATGTTTCCCTATACACATACCTCTACATCATATATCAAAGTTTAAAAAAAAAAATTGGAAACTAAAAAATAAAAATTTCTCAGAAATGAATAATGAAAATACTGCACATTAAAACGTGAAATACAATTAAAGCAGTACTTACAACTGAGTATTTACTATTTTTCTGACTTAAGACAGAAATAGCAAAACAAATCTCAAAAAAGTAAAAGTTGGCCAGGCTTGGTGACTCACCCCAGTAATCTCAG